GAGAACTGAGTTGTTTGTGGTAACTGTGAGGTCCAATATGAGCCAATCATTTAAATAATTAATGTTATATCCTAAAATAACATAAAGGGTAAATTGGTAATGTTATAATTATAAAATCCTAGATGCTTTAGGTACTCTTCTCCTTTGTCTACTTCTTCTCCGGCCACCCCCATCACCCCCATCTACTTCTTCATCGACGGTTTCCCTTCCACAACCATCTCATCTTCTCCTTTATTAGAAAACCTTATCTCTCTTCTTTGATTTGGCCCCATGAAATCAACAACCCTTTCTGGTTTTGCTTTGACTGTTTCTTTGATGGCTTCAAAGCATTGACTAGGACTTGCTGGAGTGGTTCATGAGGCAGACGACGGAGACGAGACACGACAGAGGCGGTGCGAAGGGGAAGGTTCGGGTGTGCTTTGCCTATTTCCTCGTCCCTGTGTTTGTGTTAGTTCGTACGGTGGTGCAGGGGTGCGTGCGTGTGTTGCGGAAGGTGAAAGGGAGAAGGGAGATAAGTAGATGGTGGCTGCAACAATGAAGGGATGGTCGGAGAAGATGGATTGGGAAAGGAGAAGACGGGTGAAAATTCTGTGGTATATGGTGGTACCCAAATTGGTAATACATTGGGTAATGGGTATCACAGGTTGGCCGGAGAAGATAGATTGGGAAAAGAGGAGACGGGTGAAAATTCTGTGGTACATGGTGGTACCCCAATTGGTAATACATTGGGTAATGGGTATCACAGGGTGGCCGGAGAAGATGGATTGGGAAAGGAGAAAACGGATGAAAATTCTGTGGTACATGATGGTACCCCAATTGGTAATACATTGGGTAATGGGTATCACAGGGTGGCCAGAGAAGATGGATTGGGAAAGGAGGAGACAGGTGAAAATTCTATGGTACATGGTGGTACCCCAATTGGTAATACATTGGTACCTGCCGGATTAATGTTCACCGGAGGCCAGAGATCGGAGAGAGGAGAGAGGAGTTTTTTAAAAATACCTAAAATGCCCTCTAATTATAATTTTAACTCAAATAACCATAAAAACTAATTTCCTTATTTATCCGTTGATTTGTGGTTAAGATTGGATCTCACAGTTACCACAAACAACTCAGTTCTCCCTTGAATGGGCCCCTATATATATATATGGGAGTGATCAAATGCAAACCACTCAATTTGTACAAACCGTGCAAACCTCATTCAACCAATCATAATTTTTCATTTTGTTCATTTTTTTGTAATTATGAGAGGTTGATTAATCATTTTTATTGTGGAGAGTGTTAATCATAGATATTATCATCTTCATTATTTTAATTTTAGAGAAATACATAAAACAGTTTCATTAAAATTTCATTAAGTATTATATGAAACAATTTCACAACCATATATGAAACAACTTCATCAAAAAAGTATTATATGAAACAATTTCACAACATTAAACAATTTAATGAAAAAATTTCATAAGATTAAACAATGAAATCGACGGATGAGGGTGGTTTGCACGGTTTACACAAATGATGGCGGTTTTCATTTGATCACTCCTAATCAAATGAGAACTGATTAGTTTGTTTTAACTGTGAAGTCCAATCTCAATCACAAATCAACGGATAAATTAGGAAATTAATAATTATGGTAGTTTGAGTTAAAATTTTAATTAGAGGGTATATTAGGTATTTTTTAAAAACTTATCTCTCCTCTCTCCGACCTCCAATCTTCGGCCTCCGGTGAAATCGGTATCACAGTATATCACAATGGGTATCACATTGTGTGTCTTTGTTTTTAAGGTTTGAGTTGGTATCACAATGGTATCACGGTATATCACAATGAGTATCACATTGTGTATCTTTGTGATTATTTGGTACTTGTCGGATTAATGTTCACCGGAGGCCGGAGATTGGAGATCGGAGAGAGGAGAAAAGAGTTTTTAAAAAAAAAATACATAAAATGTCCTCTAATTATAAATTTAACTCAAACTACTATTATTATTAATTTTCTAATTTATCCGTTGATTTGTGGTTGAGATTGAATCTCACAGTTACCACAAACTAATCAGTTCTCTCTTGAACGGGCCCATATATATATATATATATATATATATATATATATATATATATGAGCATTCAAATAAAAACCACTCAATTTGTAAAAACCGTGAAAATCTCATTCAACCAATCATAATTTTTCATTTTTTTTTTGTAATTATGAGAGGTTAATTAACCATTTTTATTGTGGAGGGTGTTAATCATGGATATTATCATCTTCATTATTTTAATTTTAGAGAAATATATAAAAATGTTTCATTAAAATTTCATTAAATATTATATGAAACAATTTCATAACCATATATGAAACAAATTCATCAAAAAAAGTATTATATGAAACAATTTCATAACCATATATGAAACAAATTCATCAAAAAAAGTATTATATGAAACAATTTCACAAAATTAAACAATTTCATGAAAAAATTTTATAAGATTAAACAATGAAATCGACGTATGAGAGTGGTTTGTATGGTTTTTATAAATGATGGTGGTTTTCATTTGATCGTTCAGCTATATAATATATATATATATATATATATAAAGTTTCTTTAGAAAATTGTCAACTAAACTATTTTTAGTTTTCGTTATTAAAAGTTCTATTTTACCGTTATTCATATTATCATATCTCGTCTTTTATATTATCGTTGTAATATTATTGTTATATATTATCATCATCTTTTATTCATTGCAACTTAAATTACTGTCATAATTTATCGTAAGTTAGTTATTTATAAGTTTTTAATGGTTGTCGTAATTTCGTTTAGGTTATTGTTACCATGTTCATTAATCATCGTAACTTACTTTATATTTCTTGTAATTTACTTTCGTCATTTATTTTAATTCCTCGTAGTCTTTAGGTTACGATTATTTTAGTTTTTAGTTGTCGTAAAACTTTCTTTCTATGAAAAAAAAAATTTCTCGTTTTTTTAACATAGGTATGCAAGGATCCCGAGCAATGATAGCTTGGGTGTAGGGTAATGTTAAAATAAAAGATTGACTTTGATGATAGAAATTTGTTAAATATTAACAAATATTTCCAAAAATTTATTCAAGTTATATTGATAAAAATTACATCTCTCTTGACAAGTTGATTTTTGCATAAAAATGTTAACAGTTTCATGAACTTAGAGATAAGTCACCCCGAACACATCAACTTAAATAATACAGAGGTATACTCGAGAGAGTTACTTAGAACCAATGAAACTTGTTTTCATTCCGTACAGCTTATACAAGGGATAGATTGTGCCATTGTCATGACTGAATTTATTTTGGAAACATTTGAATCGGTCCTTGGATAAGTGTCATTCTCAACCTCGAGAGAGTACCTTACACAAGTTGATGGTTGGTTAAAGATAAGTTATTATCTACAAAGTTATATCTGATTTATTTGTCCAAAAATCTTAACTGATCCCTACACTCTTGCTTTTTTTTTAAAATTAATTATTTTCATCATTTAGTTTTAAGTTACCAAACCAAAAACAATTCTTCGAACTCACCATCTGAACAAGTCTAATCTTCTTCTAGACTTTATTTAAAACCCTTAACACTTTTTTCCCTATGGATCGATATTCGGTATCTTACCGTTTTTATTAATTGTAAAAGACGACAATGGGTTGATACGTGTATATTTGCATAGCGAGAGATTTTATCTTCCTATATATCTCACAACATTCATCCGGTAAGATAAGTGACCCGGTAAACACTTATTAGGTAAGCGTTTAGTAAACGGCCCCTAAATGAAACGCATGTTGAGATCCGACCTGCATATAATATACATGATGTTGAACATTCTGAAGGTAATCAAGACTTGTATGATTGAGTCATAGTGGCACGCCTGATGATCATAACACCAAAATTGAACAACTAAACGTAATATAATATTATTGGTCAAACCAATATTTGTTTTATATATGAAGCTAACATCAGCAAGTACCCTCAATCTGCAATCATTTATGTACAACTTTTAAAGCATCAAACACAACATAAGACTTGTACCACACATTTACTCCCTTTTCTTAAAGAATCCCACTTCCAATTTTTGCAGTAAAAGATGCCATATTGTAAACTAAACGTTAACATGAATCTGTTCACCTATTGATCATAAATAAACAAAAAAAACTCAGTAGCAAGTTTCTCTAGACACAAACACAAACACAAACACAAACACAAGCATCATCTTTTATGCATATGTATATAGATATATGACCACAAAAGTCAACTTATTTCCATTTTAGATCAGAGCTGCCAAAGCATCCAGATTTGCCACCCTCGTAACACAGTCATAATACAACTATCGGGCATCTAGTACTACTACAGTATCATCATGATGAGTCAGGTGAAAGTTACTACCACATAGTTTCTATGTGTAAGCCACATCTGAACAGAGACTTGGTGTTCATCACATCATATACAGATTATAAAATATTCCAACCTGCATAACAGTGAAGCTCGCAGTCTAACGAGTGCTGCAACTAGTGTATAGTTAATTATGGTATCACCAAAAGGTAGATAACGACATGAACAAACAAGTGAACACTTTCAGTTAAATAGATGTAGACATGTTCCTACTTCATGCTTTGGTTCAGCTTGCACATAATTATATGAACCAATGACAAGAAAGCATATATGTTGACCGACCAGCATATTGTTTTGTTTAATCAAGGGTAAGAGAAGGATTTGTCAAACCTTAAAGATGCTGTTTGATTCCTGAGAATGATAAGACAAACGCCCTTTGCTATAAAAAAAACCTTGCACCATGTCAGTAGTACATACTCGCACCAAACTTGAAGGTCCTGTGGCAGAAAAGCACCCTTAATAAAAATGGTAATGTTTACGTTCTACATTTGGGCCTCTCTTTCATTAACAACCTAGTTTGTACTAAGAAAATTTGCGGCAATCTGCAGGGGGTCAGTGGAGATGTCAAAATACATCCTAGAAACCGAACAAGGCAGGGTGGGACGAGAGCTGCTATGTTTGTATATGGTATTTTAAACTAGTACAAATCTTGGCATCTAATTAGCATTAGGAACTTTTTTGCTTTTTTATTAAATAAGTGGACTTGAAGTAGCATTTTTTTCTTGACTATTTTGTGTGTCCTGATTTACGCAGGTATGGTCGGGCTTGAGAACATGGCATTCTTATCAATGGCTGTCAGCTTGGTAACTTATTTCTATGGTTATATGAACTTCAGTTTGACCAAGTCAGCCACAACGCTCACAAACTTCATGGGCACTGCATTTCTAGGATCACTGTTTGGAGGGTTTATTTCCGACACATACTTGTCAAGATTTAAGACTTGCATCCTATTCGCATCTTTTGAAGTAGTGGTACGTCTAATAAAACTGATCTAAACAAACGTAATATCTCTAGAAAGTTACAGTTCAATAAGCTGCATTACATGCAAGCTTTTTATCAACTTATAGTCTACAAGTCCATCTAACTAATGTGTAAACTGATTGATGCTCAGGGTTATGCACTCCTAGCAGTTCAAGCACACTTCCAACAGTTAAGACCCATTCCCTGTAACCCTAGCCTAGTAAATCAATGTCAGTCGGCAGAAAGTGGTCAAGAGGCGATACTGTTCACAGGTCTGTATTTGGTTGCATTTGGGACCAGTGGAGTTAAAGCCGCTCTGCCTTCCTTGGGAGCTGACCAATTTGATGAAAGGGACCCTAAAGAGGCGGAATCACTTGCAAGCTTCTTCAACTGGTATCTGTTCAGCGTCACAATCGGGGCTATATTTGGCGTTACTTTTGTAGTCTGGATCAGCTCCAACCTGGGTTGGGCTTGGGGGTTCAGTGTGTGCTCCATATCTGTTCTAGTAGCAGCTCTTTTTCTACTCATGGGGAAATCCATGTACCGGAATTATGTACCTGAAGGAAGCCCAATTCTTCGAATTCTACAAGTATATTAACAAGAAACATAACATATACAGCATACTTTTGCATTAAATGACTTATCTGGAATCCCAGATCATAACATGGAATAAAGATACTTAACCATTATCCATTGGATTCAGGTATTTGTGGTGGCCATTAGAAACCGAAATATACCAATACCGGAGATGTCTGAGGAGTTGCATGAACTTCATGACAAAGAAGCTGGAGTAACGACTGATATTCTTCTCAGAACAAATCAATTCAGGTGCTGTTTTCTAATATTTACAAGTCAAACTTTCCTATTTATGTATATCTTGTGGTTGCTAATACTTGCATTTTCATGTCAGATGTCTGGACAGGGCAGCAATTATTAGCACTGCACTTGATTTAACCGACTTGCGACCATCAGGGTCATGGAAACTATGTACAGTAACACAGGTTGAAGAAACAAAAATTTTAATCCGCATGCTCCCTATTATTTTAAGCACTGTGTTCATGAACACATGTTTGGCTCAACTACAAACTTTCACCATTCAGCAAAGTACAACCATGGACAGGAACCTCCTTGGGTTTCAAGTTCCTGGTCCCTCCATTCCAGTAATCCCACTAGTGTTCATGTTTTTACTAATCCCAGTTTATGATCGTATTTTGGTGCCACTCATGAGAAGGTTCACTGGGATACCAACAGGAATCCGACACCTTCAAAGGATTGGAGTAGGATTAGTTCTCTCAGCCATCTCGATGGCAGTGGCTGGAGTCGTTGAAACTCACCGTAAATCTGTGGCTATTGACAATAACATGGTTGATTCCCCAGGCCCTCTGCCTTTCACAGTTTTCTGGCTAGGTTTCCACTATGCCATTTTTGGAGTGGCTGATATGTTTACATTGGTAGGGTTGCTAGAGTTTTTCTATGAAGAGAGTTCATCAGGCATGAAGTCGCTTGGGACAGCTATCTCATGGTGTTCATTGGCTTTCGGATACTACTTGAGCTCAATAGTGGTGGAGGTGGTGAATAAAGTGAGTGGTGGGTGGTTAGCCAGTAACAATTTGAATAGAGACAAGTTAAATTACTTTTATTGGTTATTAGCAGGACTAAGTATGGTGAATTTAGGGGTTTATTTGAAGTGTGCCTCTTGGTATAAATATAAAAAGGTGGGTATGAAGCAGATTGATGCAGGCAGCAATGATGATGGCACAAGTGAAGGAAAGATTCAAATATCTAATGAGTAGATAAAATTCACACGCTAGAGATGTATTTACAAGTGTATGGAAACTCATCTTCATAATACCTATAATTCTGTATTATTCTGTGTATCACAATGCAAATAACAAGTAAATTATGAAGGGGGTGGAATTTTGATGCACATATATGAATTGAAAATTTCTGTGTATTATTCCTTATATTCGTCTTGTTACAACTTCTGATGCAATAACAGGACTATAGCAGTATCTACTAAGCCAGTTATAGAGAAATGCAATTATCTAGCACAAATTTGGAACATGGCATCCTATAATATAGAAAAATTCATGTCTCAAAAGCAGAGTGTAGCTTCACAGAAGTTACATTCAACAAGTTTCCATAGTGCATAGAAAGTGACATGCCAAGTAGAATTGTAGACATTCTTCAATATATATATATTTGTACATTTCACATGCTGCACTAACAATAATTTCCATTTTCCTTGATATCTTTATTAACTCCTGATGGGTTTTGTTTTGTCTTACCCTTTCAACTAGTTTGGAAAAGGGTCTTGCTGCTATAGTTCAAACCATGAAACCACAAATGTAGTTATGAAATACAATTTGGGATAACAGGAGATGGTGCTACGTGACCCTAGCAGACATAGTACAGCATAAACTAGATATTGGGATGAACAGTAGACTATTTGGCTGGCTTTACAAGATCTCTAGTGTACATTAAAACTACGTTTCCATTTTCTTGTACCACTATTTCAAAAGATAACTTTCATAGTCAAAATAAATTTTGCATCTAGTTACAAACAGACAAAAAAAAGAGGACTGCATCATTGTTTTCAATAAAATACATATACAGCTAAAACCCAATCCTTTTATTATAAAAAAAATCTCACCCTATCCTCAGACCCTAGTATCGCAATGATGCCATGGACTACACCCATGGCTGTCGAAGCATGGATTTGCTCTTAACTAAAGCACAATGCTACTTATAAGTCATCAATTTCAATGATGAAGTGCAAGAAATCTGTCTGAAAAACTTGCGCCAACTTAATAAAAGGGTGAAAATCTAACTTTGCACAATGCTACTCAGACGTTCTTTTTTAGTAGGGAACGTAAAGTCTTGGGATAACTCACTTTGAGCTGTTAATGGGCCACCAAGCAATTTCTGCTGTCTAAGAAAAGTACCATAATTGGTTCCTTCATGACAACTATGCAACAAACTTTTTGTAATGTGTTGGATCAATGAAGGTCCTATTTCCACTATTAGATTTGCACTTGATGTTAAAAACACAAACAGAGGAGGGAGAGGAAGGGAAAGAACTTTTATGTAGACTCTTGCATGTAAACATCTGTGAAGACTTTTTCTTGTGAACTTGTACTGGACTATAAATCTTTTTATGCTGTAAACTGTCACCAGTACCATGAAGCTGCTATATACCATATGCTCATTCCTCCATCTCACAGCATACAGCCAGTCATTAGTTAATTAATCAAAATCGAAGCATTACACATACTTGTGCTGATCAAGAATTAAGAACCAGATCGTATCCAACACCTTTTATGGCGATGCATCTGCAATGAAAAAATGTATCCTTTTGGTTCATTTCTACTCTCTCTCTCTCTCTCTCTACTCCTTTCTCTAATAACGTGTTTGAACTTGATTTACAAACTTCTGATTATAAACTTTTTTTACAAGGAATCTGGTACATAATCTGAGGATGAATGTTATTACATGGTATAAGAATTGCCACAGAGATGTGCAATACAAGTTTCCTACCAATTCACATCCAGTGTAAGAGCCTCCGGAGGTACAAGGACGGATGACAATTTAGTGAAGGACATATTGGCCATCAAATTACTCCATGCAGAAGAATCTACTCCAACAAAAGGCTTAATCTTCTTAACAACCAAGGGCTTTAACCTCTTCCTTTCAATTCTTGCCAGTACCTCAAACCATACATGCTCAACAGTAGGCCTTGTACGCCATTCCTCCATAGTAATCCACCGAGTATCGTTGGTTCTAATATTCCTTTCTAGTTCCAACTGATATCGAAAAACAGTTGATGCTTCAATCTTTGCTTTAAGCTTTGCCCTGCCAGCATCGGGATTGATCTTGTCACCTAATAAGCTCTTCATTAATTTTTCCAGCAGTCTTATCCTCGACCTCAAGGATTCAATAGGACATTGTTGCTTCTCATGGGTATGTCTGGAGTAACATTTCTCTGGCAGCAATTCAATAGTATCCTGAGATAGAAGATCTGATGCGATGTATGCACCAGGATTTTGAGTTCTGAAGGCAACTATAGATGCAGAGCCAGAAATCTTTACCGGAAGTAATGGCATACATGTCAAACATGGAAAGAACCATAGGTTACGTTGCTCCCCATGAGCAATAAGATTCTGTTCTGCTTGTTGTCCAAGATTGGATGTTTGAAAAAGAGAGACTGCATGTGCATTCTTCACTTCTACAGTAATGTCTTCTCCAACAAGTATCCGCTTCAAACCGGCATGTGATGTGTTCCACTGAAACACATGATCCAAATGTACATGAGTTTAGCTGGAACAGGACTTACCAAATTAGAACAGGACCACAGTCAATCAAGTAAAAGGAGGCTTCATGCAGATTTAGCCAAAGTGTAAACAATTGAGTACAGTATGTTTCGTATTCTAGCTCAGTAACACGATATAAACCAAAATTTATGTGAACAACTACAGTCTACATATGAAAATTCATAGAATCGTATCCAGTAAACAAGAATATATACACAAGAAAAGTGAGAACCAAAAACTAAACCACAGTATCAAATAAAGCATGACATACTCAAAGGATGAATCATCATGGAATAAGGCTGGATAAGAACAGAACAGTGGTTCTTTAAGCTTGCAAATAACCAAATCTCTAAGAATTATACCAATCACAATGAACCAGAATACAGGTTACTAACAAACTGACAGTGCAATTATCTTGACAGGCAGGCTATTAGTAAGATCGACAATAATTAACAAACACGACACAAACACTCAGCACAAGATTAAATGCAAGCAAGTCTAGTAGCATAGCCATTTGGAGAAAAGGAGCATACCGGCAGTACCAAGGACATCTGGTCGTCTCCAGAAACAAGTAACTCAAAAGGCCCTTCTATTAGAATTGGATCAAGAACTGCTTTTGAGCTCACTCGATTAGCCAAAACCTCAAAATCCCCTACTTCTCTGTCCTTAAATCTCTTCCACAACGAAACTTCATCCCACAAATTGAACATAAAATCCTTCTTGTTCGGCAACAGAAACTCAATCTCGTATCTCTGCAAATTCCCATACTTAATCTTCTCTATTTCCAATTTCGAAACCCTAACGTCTTCCAACTTCCAGTGTTCAGAATCAGATATGGCTCCAAGGACATCCTATAACAAGGAACAACAAAGTTAAGCATCAATTGAGATAAAGCATTCGCAAACATTATGTTCAATTAACAAATCCAACACAAAAGTTTTTCCTCAAACAACTTCCAATATCCAATTATAAACCGCCTTCCATTGAAATGATAACATAAATTAGGCGACTAAAAAGACCCAAAACTGCAGAACACATCCGAATCAAATCAGAATTCATTGTTTTACCTTTAAGAAGAGAGAGGGTTGAGGGCGAAAATCGTCGCTGATTTTGGGGTAGATGAAGTGAGAGAGATTAAACCGCGGGGAAGCGATTGCTTGTGATAGAAATAGAAGCAAGAGATTGATTCTGGCGATGATCATCATTGATTGAATTCTTGATTTTTCTGTTCAAGCAACGATTTTTCGAAGTGGAACAACACTCGCGTCGATTTCAACTATTTCCCACTTTCCAGATCTGGTTATGGTTTGGTTTGGTTGTCACTTGTCAATCACGATTATACCCGACTTTACCATATTAATTACGGATACGCCCTTTTCGAAGCTAGAAAACTTACGAATTTTGTGTTTAATTGTTACTTTGTTTAACGAATTATTTTTTGTCAACTAATGTAAACATTTAATTATTTATTCTATACTAATTTTATGATTTGAGTTTTTGGTTGTTATAAATTTATGCATGTTTGTTTGTTTGTAAATCATATTAAAACTACTTTATAAATCATATTTAATAAAGTTTAGGAAATAATTTATAATGCATTAAATACTACAGTATTATGTATTTAATATTAAAATCTCTTAATTACAATTTTACAAAATTTTGTCATTGTTAAACTTAAAAGTTTCTCCTCCCAAGTTACGTTCTCCAAAGTGACGATTCGTACGAATCCATCTTCCCCATACGAAACCATTTTCCCCACTATGACGATTCACACAAATCCATCTTCTTTCAGTTAGGGTTCTTCTTTCTCTGGATTCCATTATCCATTGCTTCATCTCCGGTAAGGTTTTACCGATTTCAAACTCTCATTTTTTATCATCTTCATTGTTTTCTCTATCTTTTTTTTCCAGATCAGAGTACCCCTTTCTTTAATCCAAAACCTCTTTAAGTTTGTGTTCGTGTGTTTTTGGAGATCATTTGATATTGGGTTTGAGTTGTTTTTTTTTTTTGAAAGACTTAATACGATCGTCTCTTGTTTTTTAAGGTTTGTCTTTATTTGTATCATGGTGTCGAAGAGTTGGATCTTTTTAGTACAACTCTGACACAATGGTAACCCAAATTCTTGTTACTTTACAAGCTAAATCTTTCTGGCTTGCCATTTGATTTTTGAGTTATTATGATGGTTCTTATATTGAGGTCCTCAGAGGTCTTCCTTCTATTAGATAAGAGGGGAAAAAAGAACTGACTGAAAGCAATTGATATATTTCCGTCAATGATTATGAAAAATTATGTTTTTGACACTTTTCCGATTTTGAATTTTGGATCTTTAATGCTGTAATTTGTTTTCATATATATATATATATATATATATATATAGGGTTGGGTTCACGTGAGACCAGTCTGTTTTCGTGAGAACCGTGAGACCACCTTTTTACACTTAAACCTTCACAGCGAAAACACTGTGAAGGTAAAAAAAATCCGAACCTTCACAGCATTTTACTGTGAAGTTTCAAGTGTAAAAAAGTGGTCTCAGGGGTCTCACGAAAACATGTTGGTCTCACATGATCCCAAGTCTATATATGTGTATATATATGTATATGATGGAGTCTTCATGTGAAAAACGTAAATAATTTGAGAATCGGGGAACTAATTTGAACCAGATTTAGTTCCGTTTGTAATAGGGGGGTTTCAAAAAGTACAGTTAATGTGGTACAGAAGCAGCATATAAAGATTGTCAACGTTTTACAACAAAATTGAATATTTGGTGATCATTTGTGTGATATGCGATTGTTGGGATCTTTCTAGGATGATGTATGCTTCAAGGAAATGAACACAAATAATGATTTGATTACTATTTCATTAGTTGCTTAATATGTACATTTTTTATATGTGATGCTTCGTGTTTGGTGCTCAACAGATTCATATTTCTGCATTGCCTTTTGTTATGTTGATGAGAAAGAATTAGCTAGGGATATTAAGTTGAGGGGAATTGTGACCTTTCTGGGTCCAACATACGTACAACATGAACAGCGTTAAACATTCACCACATATTTTGTGAACCTCAAATCCTCAATATTTACCCTTCTACTTGAGGTTATCCTATGAACTTCTACTTTAGATTCTTTGTTTCATCACCTAAATTTTAATTTGCTACTTGTTACTTTACAATACTTTTCTTCGTTTTATCTCTTTTATCTAATATTTGGGTTTGACGTATGGCTTTCGTTAGCACTTCATTTTAATATTATGCAGCTCAGCCTTTGCTGCTCAATATCAAACCATAACTTCAACTTTGGATATTGTTACTTAGATTGATGTCGCGTACCAACACTAAATTCTTAGAACATGAAGATGGTTTGTGTTGCTGTGGTTTTGAAAAAATGGCTGAAGAGTGCTTTTTACGGGAACTTCGTGTGCAAGGTCTTGAATCATCAAGGTTGGTGATATTTCGGAGAGAGAATTTTGGAGCAGGTGCCTTTTAAGATTAGAGTCGATGACTTTGATTTTGGATAATGGTGCTCAAAGGGTCTTTTTTCGATGGTTGATCTAGAGGAATGCTAAAATAACCTTGGATTTTTTGGAATTCAAAAGGGATTTGTAGACTCCTTGGACGTTTGATGCTGATATAGATGCTTTCACGGTGGTTGTTAAAGTGTAGATGGAACTATGCTGCAGTTGATCTAGATGCGGTTGGGTTTGATTTTTGGTCATCTCAATTGATTAGGATATTGGTTTCTATTTCGGCTTGTATAAGATAATTTTTTTTCCCAAATATATTCACTGAATATTTGTTTCTTCCTTCAGTATAACTATTTGGACACCATAATTGATTTTCATGCTTGTGTACAATAAAGTTCACCTCTTATTCCTTATTTGCTACATTGTACTTGATTACATCTTGTTGCATCGCACRGATACTCAACCATAAGGAATCGAGGTTTAAATATTTCTAAGGGTTTCCTGAAAGATCGAATGTTTAAATTTAAATTTTGTACTTTTTAATGAATGATTGCATTTTTTTTAGTTGTAGATTTAGGGCAAATTGCATGAAAAAGTAACGTACTTTGACTTGATTCTTATTTTGGGTAACGTACTTTTAAAACTTTCATTTTGGTACCTAAGATGTAAAGTTTTAAACATTTAAGTACCCTGGTAACTGGTTGAAGTATTAACCGATTATCATGCTGATGTGGCGAGTGATGTGGTATCCAAATCGGTATTATTTGCTGACGTGGTCAGTGACGTGGATTTTTTTAAATATAAAATTAGTCTTTTTTTAATCTAATTTTAGTCTTCAAGTGGTTACCCAGGTACTTAAATGTTTAAAAATTTACACATTGGGTACCAAAATGGAAGTTTTGAAAGTACGTTACCCAAAATAGGAATCAAGTTAAAGTACGTTACTTTTTCATGCAATTTTCCTGTAGGTTTATTAGGAAATTTGACATCCCGCCGCATTGCGCAGGCATACAACTAATATTATTTAAAAGATAATTTTTTTTGGTAAAAAAGAAAAAATTCTTATTTTCTTTTTTCAAAAAACACATATTTTTAAAAAATATTAGCCAGATAAGTTGTCTTCTACTACTTTTATTAATATTAGTATATTAATAAATAATTTAATTTTTTTTAATTCATATAATATATTTATCAAATAACATGTAAAATATCTAAATATTAAAATTAAAAGTAAATTGTTTAATAAAAACTGATATATTTTATAATAAAATAATTTTGAAAGTGCAATGTTGTAATAAGAAAATCACATCATTATAATACAATTGAACAACCTACATGGATAATGAGGTGAAATAGAAACCTGTGATAATGGGTAAATTTAAATCAAAAGGTTACCCAATGCTATAATGAGTAAATTTTTCAAAATATAATGTTTTAATAAAAAATAGTTTAAAAATACATTGCTATAATAAAAAAAATTGAAAATACAATCTTATAATAATTTTTTTTATAAAAATGCATTTTGTCCTCGTAGATATAAGTTGAATGAGGTTTAGAGCGGAAGCATTTTTCCCGCGTTACTGTAGCGACCCCTTTCTCTATCCATGGAAGAAGAGATTTCAGTAAAGCTTATTTCAGTCTCCGACCTACTCCATCGTCTCCACCCCATCACCGGCGCCTCATCTCTCTCTCTTCGCCGTTCGAGTCATCGTTCCACACTACATGAAGACACAACTCAGCCGTCCAATCCACAGAGCCCTAATAACTATAAAATTCTTAAGCCTCTTGACTACCCAGCATTACTCATCGGAACCCTAACCCTAACCTCACCTTCTTTCTCTTGTTCTAATTCAAGTTGCCTTAAGTTTTCTGACAATTCCGCGGCCGTTTGTTGCGACATTCTTGACCTTGATCTTCGGGTTATTGGGCAAAGGATCCGAGTTGTTGCGTGGAATTTCCTTCCGTTGAAACCTCACGGCGGATATCTTGAAATTATCAGGTGGACTCTTGATCATCCTGAAAAAGACTCTATATCGAATTTTAATGCATTTTATCTGGACTCTCTATCGCCTGCCTATGAACAAAGTAGAGTTCCTCGTCATTTAGTTTACGGCTTATTGGAATCGGTTAGCCCTGTCACAAATGTTCCCTGTACAGCCAATAAAAGCGGTACCAGAAACCTTAATGGGTTTCTTGCTGAGATTACCATATGCGAGTGCAAATTATGCTGTACCAGGGACAGTGTAATGTTATTGCAAGATATAACTGGGGAACAGAATAATGGTCATAATTTTTCGAAACCCAAGATTCTTTACTTTTGCGGGTCTGCCTTTATCTGGTATCCTGCCATTTCTAGGCTGGTTGGAGGCAATTTGTTGATCTCTGGTTTGAAGAAGAAGATGGTTTTCCTTGGACAAGGGAAGTCTTTGATGATGTATGTGACCACAGAGAAAGCTATGATCCATCTTCCAATGTCTCCGAGTAAAAGTTCCTTGAATAGAAGGAATACTACTACCAGAGAGAAGGGGCTATGTGGTGCCCATACTGGAAGTATTACTGGGGTCTACATGCAGGGAATGGTTATTGAATTGGATCAAAATATACTGATATTGCTCACAGATCATCAACTTGCAATGCCACATGGTCTGAGAGTCGGTGCAATTGTATGTAAAGTAGCTTCTTTTGCGTAGGGAAGTTACACTTTATCTAATATATGGGTTTTCCTGCTGTTAGGTAACTGTGAGAAATTTTCACCTGGATGATCCCAAATTTTTGTGGACAAAAATTAAAATATTTGGATCATGCTATAAAACTAGCATCCGTGTTAATATATTTTCTCCAATAGAAAGCGGGTAAGTCCGTAAGTGCTGTTGAAGTCTGTTCAGTTTAATTTTTTTTTGTGGCAACTATTTAGAAATTCTATGTACTACAAAAGTATCATCCTTTTGGCTGCAGATGCTACCAAGCTTTACAATCTCGAAGTCTTCTTAGGAAGTTTATTGAATCACTTGCATTTTCAGCTAGATTATGGTAAGAAGATGTGAATTTACTATTACTGTTAGTGTTATCTGCCTTGCTTGGCAATTCATATTTGCTCATTTGCTCAAAATTCTTCTATCTCAGGGTGTTACTTGTAGTCTCGTCTCTGAAGAAAAAGTTTGCTGGAGTTTTATCTGAGATGGAGATCTTAGGATCAAAGCATGTAATGTGCTTGTACCTTGGCTGTTTATTGTCAGATTAAGTATTTCATCTGTTATAAGTACTTTCCTTGGATAAATATTCTGTTATGGTTTCACATCGTTCTTTTCAATATTACAAACTTTGTGCTAAGCTGAAGGAATAATTGAAGGTGTTTTGCAGATGGAAGGATTAGTTCAGAAATATTCCAGTTCATGTTTACCCTTATCAGTATTCCGATTCCGGGTATAATCATTTTGAATATTGTCAATGAGAACACACTAGTTGTAACTGATATGTATGGATCCTTAACAATTAGTTTGGTTGGGCAGCATGGAGTGCTCACAGAATATTGTCAGCATGAGTTATGTGGCTGTGGCAAAGTATTAGACTACAACCCTCCGAAATTGGTACATTTTGGCAATTATAGAGGTTTTCTTTAAGGTTTTTTGTTTAAGCATTTTCATTTAATAGGTGCATAGTAAAGAAATAATTGCCATTGTTTCAGGTTGTGCCGATCTCCAATCTCATCAGTCAGTGTGAGAACAAGTTCATAAAATTTTTAAATGCAAGAGTGACAGATCCTAACATGAACCATCAATATTGCAATTTTGTTTGTGGAGGGAAGTCTCATGATCAACCAATTAGGAAAATTTTGAAAAGCGAAGATATGAACGTTGTTTTGCTTGGAACTTTAAAGGTTAGTAAGTCGACAATCTCTCATAATAGGACTTCTGACTTTATGAATTTACTTAGATATTTTTGTATTTGATCCAATGAGGAAAATGTGAGTAATCAACCAGGGGAATGCCAGATAATTCAAAGGCTAGGCTGTTAGAATATCTGGGTTTTGATAGTATATAGGATCACATACGTGTTACATATTGAAGTTAATCTCTCAAACAGAACACCAAAAAAAATTATGTGAGCCTGGAGACAAGCATGTGCTCATCCATGGATTTTCACTCCTACCTTAAATGGTCATCTGCTTCGTCCGCATTTCCTATACATGGTTCTGCAAATGTGATTGTGGTAGTCTTTTGTGTATGTAGATTTCTGAATACTCAGGAAGGTTGCAATTAATTGATGCAACTGGCAGCATTGACATTGTTATACCTGACCTTCCATCTGTATGCAGCATTAAGGACATATATGAGGTAATTAGATTCTTATAATGTTCTTTATTTGCCAGATGGCTGCTTCAATTTAGCTGAACCAACCAGGTATTTCGTATCTGCATGAATTGTATTGTTCCTATTTATGTATGATTTTTTTTCTCTCTTTCATTTCATTTCATTTCATTTCACCAGATAAACAACTTCAGTGTCGTGATGGAAGGATTTCCTAGACAACTGAAGCATTTGGAATCACTCGAAGATGAACCATTTTCGTGTGGAAACATTTTTGGTCATTTTCAATTAGCAAGGAGAAAAAGGTTTACCATTTATATCTATTGCTACATGAGAGATGCAAAATCAAGAAATCATATTCTATGTCCTAGCATGGATGGGGAGGATAATTTGAAGGAGCTAGAAAGCGGAAGATTCCACCTGCTTTGGTTGATGCACAAATTTCCTGTACAGCAAAAGGTATGTTCTATAGTAGAAAAGGTGGGAACTAGGATGATGGCAAGTACTACTTAATTTTCTTGATTCATAGAAGTTCAAAATTTTCTCAGTTTCCAGGTGATGATACAGTTTCAAATAGTTCAAGCATATATGCTGAGGCCATAGTTTTGCCCTGGAATTTAGTTCTTCATGAAAAAGAGAGAGATGTGGTTGAATCATATGCTGGAGTAAGTGATGCTGGAAGTAATCTATCCGAGCATTTGCAATTTTCATATGGTGATGACCAACAGTCCTATGACAAAAAATGGTGTGATTTAAGTTGTCTACAGGAATTCCCATGTACTATTGACTGTCGAGTTTCTAGTGATAAGTCTATGGTCAGCTTAGGTATCTTCTTAAATTGCACGGTAGCCAATATGCAGGAAGATTCTTTCTGCAAAAGAGATGCAAGGAAGTTGCTATTGGAGTTCAAGTCTGATAGTTTTTTGAAATATGAGGTCGGTCATTCATTTCTAGGCATCAACTTATCTATATAGAAATCAGATGGGGACATCATTGTGTCCAGCATGACTTACAATCCGACTTTTGTTGCAGTTGCTGAGAATTGGTGGATACTACTTGATAAAGCATCATAACAAAGATATGGCCTGTACTGCAAAGGACTCTGGCAATACCTGTGATGGTAAAGTACTTGTGGATTCTAAATCACATCTCTGGAGTGTCTCTTTCTCTGCTGATGAGGCTGGTCCCAGCACTGCACAATCATGCATTTGTTCATACCATAATTTAAATGGTGTTGGCAAAAAGTTCCAATCCCCAAATTGTTGTCAAGTTGAAATTCCTGTACTAAGGTCCACTGATGGACGCCCTGAGATATGTCCAGATATTTACTTACATCTGTCGGCTGACCATTTAAGTTTCTTAGAGGTCAAACTCAGGAAACTGAAAGAAGATCTTATCCAGCCAACTAACTCTATCAAAGGATTATTTAACAATTCTTGGATTCATCGGACCATGAAGAGTGCATCAATGCTATCCGGGGCCTTTGGTGTAAATTTGCCTGAGGGGAATTTATTATCTGTGCAAGGACATGTGGTGGCGGTTCATAGCTCTGACCAGGGTTCTCTTGTTACCCATCTAAGCCATAAAATTTTCCATGGGGCTCATCGTCGTATCATTCCTGGAGTAACAAACAGTGTCTGTATTCATGTTTTAGTCGACCATGACATTGTAAATGCTACTTTCCTTCTTTACTGTTGTTTTCTCTTATTGGATGCATACAATTATATTTCTCATAGTTCTGATCATTCAGGTGAAGATTTATAGTGGCTTAAGTGAACAAAGTTATCCAATCGGATTTGGACCAGGCATCAAAGCCAACTTTCACCGTGTTCTATTAACAGAGTATGTGTCATTCTCAAACTACAACATGATTTTTTTGAAAGGCGCAACATGATTTTTATATGCTTTGTTTCCATCATTGTTTCCTGTTTTGGAATACTTTGGTCAAATTTGCAATTCGTACATCTTTTTTGAAACCTAAATATCCTAAATTTCTCCCTTGGTTGATGCTCCCATCAACTGTTTATTGTCACTCATCATCCACTAAATTTTGTTTGATCATTTAACAGATGTCATCTCTTCAAGGGTGTATAGAAACCTCAACTTTCTATTGCATAGTGTGTTTTTGGTTGACATAGACTTAAAATAATTGTAGCCTAGGTCATCCATCTTGCAGTAATGATTTGCTGACTAGAATTTGAAATTTCATATATTTTCGTTTTTCCATGGATCATCTGATGAATTGTATAAATGCTTTTTCAATTGCAATATTGCGCCCTCATATGTTCTAAGCTTTACTCTACTAACTGAGGAAGAACTGGGACCTGTTCGGTATCTTTGTTATATGAGCCAACAGATAAGCCTCCTGAGCCCTAGGTTAGACTTGGGATGTGTTGGTCCTCGTTGTTTCATCTTATGTCTTTACGTGTCTCTGTTCTCTTTTTTTGTTCACTCTACCTATTGCTTGTTTGCATACACTTCTGCTATTTGTCTCACTTGTATCCTTGTACTGTTCGGTATACAAGCCGGGTGCCTTTACTGAAATAACCTCTATGGTAGAGGCAAAGTCTGTATATACTACCCTACACTGCTGCACACCATACCTCTGTGTGGGATTTACGTTGCTCGTTTGGTTTGGTTTTCTTCTCAACAAATATGAAGCACAAACGACTAATTCTACAATGTCTTTCAGTTCTAGCTTCATGTGAGAGATCTTTTACCTTTTTCTGGTACTGCTAAGATTTCCTTGGTCTCATATGTCAAGTACTAACACCACATTACAATACAATTCCATGCTGATGCTTTTCGTGCAAGCTTAATTTTGGCGCTTTCTCTATCATCTTAGAAATTTGGCATATTCATTGATGAGGTATTCATAGTTTCTTATTAGTGCTTGCAAACTTTATCATGCTGTATCAGTGAAGGGGATGTGCTTAAGTTGACACCTGCATCTTTCATTGAAATAAACTCCATAGTCGTTGACGATGACCTATGTAGCAACGACTTGGATGATACATCTTCGGTTTTGGAGACGACTTCTTCATTACCAACTGCTGCTGCAGCCTTAATTTCTGAAATAATGCAGTTTCCAGACCAGAAACAGATTCGGCTCCATTGCGAGGTAGGTCCATGTATATTGTAGTCTCCACTCTCCCTCTGAGCAAACTTACTGTAAATCATAACTTAAAACTTTTTTTTATGAGCTTTAATTATGCCTGCCTATAGGGAACTTGTACTATATATGGTGTAATCCCTTAGTTTTTGTGTTGGCAGGTTGTGGCGATTTATGTCTTGGTAGTGGAAAAGAGCAACGAGCTCCTACAATCTTCCACGGTTAATTCAAAAATACCTTCAGTGAAATTTCCACTTGCTGGTTTCATAATGGGTATGCTTCTTGTCTATGCTAGATGATCTGATTAAATATTAGAGAAGAATATTTGACTATCTTTCTAGGGATGCTGAAATTTATCATCATGTCTACGTTACTTGGTAGCTTTGAATTTCCACATACCAGATTAAGAGATTCCATGGAGTTCAGCAATACCACAAATTCTAACTAGTGATCCTGGGATGTCTGCCATTCATATTGGATTAAGGAAATGGAGTCGGTTTATATTAACAACCTTAAATACTAATATGGAGTTTTATGATACTGGAAACTTCCATAAAGTATTCTTAGTATGGTATCCATATTGAGGCATGGACATGTAGGGCATTTGCTTTGTATGAACAACTTTAAAACTACTATCCACAGGAAATCTTTACTAATCCAGTAGATCTCAACTTATTAATTGTATTTTCTATTTGATCATCCATATGTTCTTTCTTTTTTTTAACGTCAAAGTTCAAACTGGATACATATTTGGCAACTTACACACCCATTTCCAAGCTAATGTTCCCTTAGGTAAATAGTTAATAGCATGAACAAGTGGGTGTGCTCTGTGGCCTTGTGTAAATTGTATAGCGTAGTGAAATTCTCTATATGCTTTTTGGGTTCAACAAATATTTGATTTACTTGTTGAAGTTCATGGATCAACTTTTCTTCTTATTTGTGTGCATAGATGATGGATCATCCTCATGCTGTTGCTGGAGTGATAATGAGAGGGCATTGACTTTATTGGGTTTACATGAATGGTTGTCACATAAACATTTCAGAGGAAGTTTACATAAATCAAACAAGGAGATAGAGATTCTTCCTTGCAGCTACACACTGTCTCGCATGAGCAAGATTTTAGGTCAGCATGGCACAGTTGTAATCAAGAACTATGGATCTGTATCTGATTCTTCATGTCTAGATGTTGCACTTTTGGTCAATTCAGACAGTTTTGTTCGCGAATCAGATGAGGAGTTTCTCAAGTCACTAATACTCCAAGCTTGCTCTAGTAAAACTTGGGTGAGTATTTCATGATACCTTTATTTACCTTTGAATTTGATTATACCAAGTTTGTGGATGAACCTGTAGTCCTTGCTCAACGATACTTCTATTTAGTAGGCATGTCTCATGGATTCATTCTTTCACACAAACATGCATCCATACACTGGACACCATTGCCAATGCATTTTGGCTATGTCCTATTTTAACAACTATAGAAGTTTTGGACTTGGAACAGAAAAATCATTATAATTAAATATTCTGCATGTGACGTTAATTGGTCTTTAACTGCTCATTTCGTCTTAAAATTCAGAAACTTGTGAGAACCTGAACCTGTATTTATGGCATAAAATTTGGTTACAGGAACAGCTGAAGTTCTGATATATGCACGTTTTAGCATAGATACAGATCTTACAGTTGACAACCAAATTGTTATTTAAGCACCTGAACTCATAAATCTCTGTTGTGATCTGGAGTCTGGACTATTATTTCACAACAGATCTCTATATTTCTCTTGGCAGAATGTCGTCGGTACTGTGTTGGATACAAAAGGCGTGGATCAGTTAGAGGAACGCTTACAAAGGTTGGACATGATGATGCCCCCACTGCAACACATATGGATTTCTGAAGTTTCTCATTTGGATACCCTGAATGAAGGAAGAAGCATTCTTCAAGAACTCCTAAAATCCAAATGACTCCATTTTGATGTGGATGAGGGAGAGGGCATCATCAGAAGATGATAGGATGATAGTGGATAAGGGAGAGGGCTGTACTATTGTGTTGTATATAGAAGTTGGGAAAACAAAAAATGCTGATTCTTCATAGGCTAAGATCACCATATGTACACTGAATTCAAAATAGAATTTAAATTATATTTCATTTTAATATTTTGCAAATTCCACCTTTCTGTGCTTGCTGAAAGTTTATTCTGCTTGTTATTCTTTTATGGATGGAAACTTAAGAAGCTAATGCAAGTTACTGTAGGGCATATAATGTCCAAATTTACCATGTGGTTCAGCCAAATGGCAAGCACATTTAGCTAGCAACCAAGGTCATTAATATGCTAAAAGAAGGCAATTTAAGGCCCAATATTTCCCCCTGTTTTTCTAAACAGAAATATCCAACTTGAACAAAGTACATAAAATCACAAATCATCACACTTTTCTGGAACACTAAACTGTGAGCGCTTAGAAAGATGGGTATTCAATGTATTTTTGAAGATAATTATGCCAAGCATGATGGTCATTTTAGATTTCTCTATTCACCTCAATGATCAGTGATCAGTATGAAACAAGAGATTGTGTTCGTTGAAATGTCTTGTAATTCAAGTTCATACAATTGATTTACAATAGGTAATATACAAAAACTCAAATAGTTCTGTTACTATGAAGTTGAAAGCTACTTAACCACATGGGGACTGGGAAATGAGGATGCTGCCACTTATAGCTGCATTGTAATGGTTTATTTTTTAGATGAGCGCTTTATTTTTAGGAGATGAGAAACACCTGCAACAACATGGAGCCGGCTGCTTGGAACACCCGTCTTGGCAAGAGCTCTTCCATGCTTATCCAGCAATACGAAACATGGAACATACTTTATGTCATAATGGAGAAGCTGCATAAAAATCGAATCATGAAAGAGAGATCAGGGCGCAGAAAAATGCACATGGACAATCTGACAATGGAAATATGTTTGATTTAGCTCACACAATGCCATAACCTACTACTCCTTTTGTCTCACAAATACTGCAACATTTCCTTTTTTTCTTCTTCAAAATTCCAAGCTTTAGTTGCCCATTTGTCCATTGCAAATGTTTAAATGCTTCTAGTCAATGGAGAACATTTTTAGACATTTGAACGATAGTCAAACATTTAGGTTAAACTATGTGTCAGTAACCATGGGAATGCAATGGATTGATTATTGCATTGGTTAAATACATCTGACTTCAGAAGTTTAAATGTTTAGGTGCATTGTTAAAAGTTGTTGGAAATGGTAATATCGAGTTGTTAATATTACTTGAATAAGAAATTTATAAAACACCAGCTTGCATGCATAACTATTTACCAAGTCTGAAATCAGTAATTTTCTTCACAATCTATATATTGGGCAGGACAAAAAAGCAAACCGGTTTGATACATACAAACTAAGATAGAAGGACATGATGTAACCTAAGGTACAATGCGACATCTGAGTATTTGACTAGCAGATTAACTTTTACAGAAATTAAGAATGCCACCGAGATTGAGAGACCAAGGGATCAATCTTAACTTGATCTATTTAAGATGCAGATTGAGTCTGAGTGAGTTAGGTGGAACCTAGGAAGGGGAAAAGCCACACCATATGTGGCCTATGGCAGGAGAACAAAAATGCCCAAAAAAAAGATCATATTATGAACTCCCATGGACCCATAACAAGTGTTCACCATTATACATTCATGATTTGGAATTACTAGCGATCCACCGATGTAGTTTGAAAATTACACTAGCGATAACCAGAACACAACATGATTACAACAGACTTGATCCAAAACACGCTTCAACAGTCATACGTTATTAATATAGCTACACTTGGGACAAAAAGAAATCATTTTGTTCCATGTCAATATAGAAAATCATCGAGGATATATCCATCTATGCCATTTCATCCAATGATTACTCTAGTTGAATCCAAATTCAACTTAATGTTTCATTCTAGTTAACTGCATCTAACTGTCTACATAAAACATCTTTGGTTCACACTCCAAAATACCAAAATAAGAACCTTGTTCTTTGTGATCTTGACAACCTTGACCACTTTATACAGTTAGGGCACCACTGAAAAGGATATTGTAATCTTGCACATAAAGCACTACTTGCTGAGAGCTTTGCATTATCCAACTACCTATTTGATCAATTTAATTAACTGAACATAATTTCCTTAACCATGGACAATTCATCAAACAGATAGAATGCATTTCTATTGTTGGTATTTGGTAGATAGAAATGCACTTTTTTTAGAGGAAAAATGATAATTTAACTTAAGCAACACAGTTGATATAACACAATGTCAAGCATGAATTGCTGGAATCTTTGTAAAATTTTTAATGAATTTTCATATCCCTTTGGATTCTATAGTTTAATTGGAACAGAAGTAGAATAAGAAATTTAAAAGAGTACCTCAGGCAACCATTTGTCATTCTCAGCATCAGCCATAACAATGTTGAGCCAATCAGCATTATTATTCTCCACATGCCCCACAAAATCAACCATTGAATTGCAAAGACTGCATTTTGGAGAGTAGAACTCAATCACCGTAGCATCTTTACCATTGGCCAAGGCGCACGCCAATGCTTTCTGTTCTAACTCCCCTTGTTCCTCTACACCCAAATCCTTGGTCCTTGTCGTCTTCGAGGAGAACTGGAGCGGGGTTCTGATTTGGGGTTTTGAAATCGAATCAACGACTGTTAACGCGAGAGAGGCGACAGTTTGAAATGATTTGAATAACCAAGGAGGTCCCGAAGAGCAGGAATCCGTGGGATTAGCGTTTGAATGGACATCCCATGGCCATTTTAAGCAAAATAAAGGTTGTTTGGGAGGAACACCACCACCCATTGATTCCCCCCCGCCCCTTCCCTTTTTGGTTATGCTGGTGAAAATCCTTCAGAAACCGTAAATGACGACGGTTGATCGTAATAATCACTGGAACTTGTTGGAACCCCTATTTCGAACAGTGGCAGAGGATGAGGAGCAGTAGGGAGAAAGGAACCACATTCGGGCCGGGTCCTAACCGATCCGTAAATCTCCATCCACATTTGTTAAGGCTGTTTGACAGTTGCTGAATGATTTTGTGTAGAATCATTATGATCAAAATGATTAAACAGTTGCTGAATGATTTTGTGTAGAATCATTATGATCAGAATGATTAAGAGGCTCTCATGATATTGTGCAAAATGAAATATAATTGTTTGGTAATTGTTTACAATAAAATTAGGGCTCTTAATGGTTAAAGGAGGTACATGATACATAGGGGCTGTTTGGCAGTTGCTGAATGATTTAATGCAGAATAGTTAAGAGGTCAGAATGGTTAAGAGGGTCAGAATGGTTAAGTGCTGAATGGAATAATGTTGTTTGGTAACTGTTCTCTGAATGACAATAAATTACCATTTTAACCCTCTGAATGATTTAGTACTGAATGAAATAGAGTTGTTTGACAAATATCTGAATAAAACAATTATTTTACAAATATAACTACATATTACCATTTTACCATGTTAGGATGTATCATCATGATTTCACAACCAAGTTATGCATATACAACAAAATCATGATGCAAATACCCATTTATCAACAAGCTTACCATGTTAAGATGTATCATCATGATTTCACATCCTCATAGTTATATCCAGTGTCTGATGGGGGCATCTGGTGAAACCATGCTCTCAACAATGGTATACGCTTTAAGACATTCATCAAAGTTCTGAATCTCCGAGGATGAACCATTCTTGATATCATACAATACCAATTTGGACCCAAATTGCAACAAAACTTTCCCATCATTCGAAATACACAAAGGCACCGAAAATTGATCCCTACCAGGATCAGTCACATAAGGGATGGAAGCTAATCTAGTCCAAGAATCTTTCACTCCATAAACCTTGATCACCCATACATCTGCGCGATTTCCGCGATAATTACAAAGCACACACAATCCGTCTACCAAAGACCCCAATGCCAAATCCTTATCACCTTCATCATACACAGGTTGCAAAACTTCACCATAAGTCTCCTTTGCTAAATCAAGAGAAACTATTGTCCACGAGTAAGATGAGCCAAAATCTCGACTAGCTGCCCAATGAAGAGCTCCATTCGAAAACTTACCAGAATCATCCAAGGGAATACCATGAGGAAAATCACCAATTTTCTTTCAATTTCTAGATTTCAACGAGTATATTTTCACCTTGGTGTCATACTTAGCTCCATTTTTGAAAACGCGAGAAATTCCAACAACTTTATAATCATCGGTGGACTCATCGTACCCAAAACCATACAACACATACCAACCAGACTGTACTTTGAAACCACAATATGGTAACCTGTTCGATCTTCTAGTATTAGGGTTCCAAATAAATAGAGTATCTTCCTCAATCGCTGGAAAAGAGGGGTGGGAAGGGTAACCGACGATGGCGAGCGGCGAAGCTATGGAGGTGACCGGCGACAACCAGCGATGGAGACGGTGGAGGTGACCGACGATGGCTGTGGAAGGCGACGAGTTCTCGTGAAAGCGACACAAAATGGCTGGAAGAGAAGGGGTGTGGAAGGGTAAAGATGGAACAAATGCAATCTGAATGGTTGAGTGAGGCCCTAGACACAAAATGGTTAAGAGGTTAATGTAACCATTAAAAGGCTTTTTTTTTGCCAAACAGCCCTTACCTCTCACCGATTAAGAGGTTGGCTCTTAATGTCACCATTAAAAGCCAAACAAACAGCCCCATAATCATTCAGAGGGTTTTAAAACCATTAAGAGGCAAACTTTTTTTTGCCAAACAAGATTCACGTCTTAACAATTTAGAGATTGTCTCTTAATGGAACTATTAAGAGTTAAACAAACAACCCCTAAGTTAAAAGATTTTCTTTTCTTTGGTTAAACTATATAAATCGTACATGATTTTAGGGTGTCCAAAACCGAAATGGTCTCAAAATCCGAACCAAAAGTCAGATATTCATGCAAATTTCGATTACCTTGAAATCCGAAAATTTTAAACCCGGTTTTAGAGGGATTTTAAGATTCGGGTTGAGTTTGGATTTTGGACACCATCCCCGTACGAAACCCCCCCCCCCATATATATATATATATATATATGTGTGTGTGTGTGTGTGTGTAAATGTATGTGTGTGGGGGGAGTTCAAACGAGAACCCCTGTAATTTACGAGAACGCGAGATCAGTTTATAAACCAAGTGTTGTGTTTTAAATCACAATTTATGAGAAGCTAAAGGAGTTTTTTAAATTTAAATTAATATTAAGAAACTTTAAAAATATTTAAAACGTGGAAGGTTAAAACTGAAAATTAAAATGATAACATTCAAATAACACGATCACGATCATTCTAATCATAGGGAAGGGAATAATCATCGTCGATAGTGGTTATCCTGCAATAAAGGCCAGTATTAGGTAAACTCAAAACAAAGAAGTCACATGTTTCGGAAGGTTTAGGGTGATAGAAAGCGAACTGCAGTTTCTTTTGAAGCGTCGAAGAAGAAGAGTGCAAAGATATGTGATATAATGTTTGCTTAGCACATGTTTATCACACTTTGATTAGGGATCGATGATTGTGTGTCACCGATTAGGGTTGTATCACATTATTATCATATAAATATCGATTAGGGCTCGATTATTGTTTGTCATCGATTAGGTTTGTATCACATATTTATCACACTTTGATAGCACAATGGAGTAATCGAACAGGGGCAATAGTCAATAGCACAGTCGAGTCGATACCCTATGTGTTTAACAAAATTTGTTCGAGTAACACAGATGATACCCTTTGTGATACAATGTTTTCCTATCACATGTTTTATCACAATGTGTTTATCACATGGTTAATACAACCCTAAACAATGGTGTTCGCACTATTATCACAACATCTTTATCACAGTCAGTAGTACAGTCGAGTACGCGAACAAGGGTAATTATAACGACTCGAGAAATTGATACCATATGTGTTCAATTAACACAATTTGTTGGAGTAACACAAATTGATACCCTATGTGATACAAAGTTTGTTTATCACATGTTATCATAGTTAACACATCGATTAAGGGTTGACGATTAAATGTGTATCACATGATTATCACAGTTAACACGTCGACTAGGGCTCGACCATTTGGTACCACCTAATTATCACACTTCGATGAGGGTTTGCTATCACATGAATCACAATCGAATTACCATGGTGATTGGTTATCATGTTGTGATAACAAGTACTATCACAATAAGATGAACTTATGTGTATCACAATATTATCACAGTTAACACATCTATTAGGAGTCAATGGTTGTAGATGATTGTATGTGTAACACATTGGTATCACAGTTAGAGGTGGCCAAAAATCGGTCTCGGGCCAGGTCGACCCGGACCCAAATCGGTCCCAATCCCAAACTAATGACCACGTAACTGGTCCCGGTCCCTACCAAATACGAAGGCCCGGTTACGAGAACTGGCACCGGTTGTTATAACCTGGTTATTTGACTGGAATATTTGGGGGTTGTTTTTAAAATTGGTTTGGAAGTTTAAGGATGGTTTTTATTAAGTGATGAAAGTTGAGGGGTGTATTTTTTTTTTAATAAAATTGGTTTAAAAATATCAACTTTTTCACCGCCCATATTTAAAAGTATATATGTGTGTGTATGTGTGTACATATATGTGTGTGTGTTTTCTTTTTATTTTCCTTTTTGTTGTTTGGGATAAGAAAGAAACAAGAAAAAGTTGGTGAATGTTTTTGGCTCCTGGGTTCGAGCAAACAGAAGGAAGAAAAGAAGAAAGTTTCCGTGTTCTTATCTGATTATTTGTTGTTGATTTAAAGTCTCTTATCTGCTTGTGAATTCAAGGTGAGTATTTATTTCAAAGTTTTATTTGAAATGCTTTTATAAGGAACGGTATGGGTTCGAATTTAGGGTGTCTTCGAATATGATTACTTGATATTTATTAGCATAATTTTGGGTTTTGATATGTTATGATCAACTGAATGGAATAAGGGTGATATAATCAAGTAATGTATATATTTTAAAATAAAAGTGACATAATCAAGAGTTGGGTAAATTTGAAATAAGGGTAGCATAATCACGAGCAGAGTATATTGTAATAAGGGTGGCATTATCAATAGTCTTGTGAATGATAATATTTTGATCATGAGTTACTGTTATCGCATCCTTGTAATGCGATGAAATTGATTATATCGCATCAGTGTGATGCGATGAGTTGTTTTTATCGCATCTTTGTGATGCGAGGAGGTGGGTTATTGCACTAGTGTGGTGTGAGAAGTTATGTTTATCGCATCAGCTTGGTGAAACAAAGTGTGTTTATCGCATCTGTTGGATGTGACAAGTTGGGGTTATCGTATCCTTGTGATGCGACAAAATGTATTGTCGAATCTATTTTTATGCGACAAAATGAATTATATTACTCTTGTGATGCGACGAATTGGTTGTCTCATCTATGTCTCATCTATATGAGGCGACAAAATGAGGTTTGATACGATAAATGTTATTTACATGTTGTCTTTTCAAAGATTGGCTTTCCAAAAGTGTTTGGTGATAATAGCTACAAATGGATTACTCACTAGACCTTACGGTCTAACCTTCGTTTTCTTTTCAAAAATGTGCATTATATGCCGGGCACATGTGGAAGGAAAAAGGAAGGAGAAGAAATAAATTGAAGTATGAAAATTTTAAATCTGCTTTTGATGAACATGAACTTTGTGAAAGCTGAGTTATACATGAACTTGTGAAATTTATTATATACAAGTTATGTATCTGAGATGAAAAAGTTTATAGCTACTTTTGTATGTAGCAATGTGTACATTGAGACCAGTTTGTAATATTTGTATTTCTTTATATATGAAATAAGTGTGTTTAATGCAAATGTGGAATGAGGTGTCACACCGGTCCCGATCCAGGTCCCAGTCTCAGGTCGGGCCCAAACCGGTCCTATGAAAAAAAATTAA